GGACGAGGGAGCGCTGTCATATCGGATGGCCAGCGCCCAGCGCTGAGGGGGAGAGAAGCCGCCCCCAGGACGAGCTGTGTCGGCCGCACGGCGCCCTTGTTGCCATGGCGCCCTGTGCGGCCGCACTGCTCGCACACCCCTAAGGCCGGCCCTGCTGACACATGTATATTGTATGGTCAAAGGTATGTGGACCTCCCTTCCAATGACTGAGTTCAGATGTCTCTAGTGAAGGGTTCTGTTAATACAAAGACATTGTAGACAATTGTGAGCTTCCACCCTTGTGGAAACAGTTTGGTGAAGGTCCTTTTCTATTCCACCGTGACTGTCCCCTGTGTACAAAGCCAGCTCCATAAATATATGGTGTGACCAGTTTGGTGAAGACCCTTTTCTGTTCCACCAAGACAGCCCCCTGTGTACAAAGCCAGCTTCAAAACGACATGGCTTGATGAGTATGGTGTGGAGGAACTCGAGTGTCCTGCACTTAGCCCTGACCTCAACCCTACTGAACACCTTTGGAATGGACCAGGTCTTCTCATTCAACATCAGTACTCAACCTCACAAATGTTCTTCTGGCTAAATGGACACAAATTCCCTCAGGCACACTCCAAACTCTTGTGGAAGGTCCTCCTAGAAGAGTGGAGGCTGTTGGAGCCAAAGGGGTTGACTTGAAATGGGTTATATAGGTGTGATGGTCAGGTGTTCACAAACTCTTGGCCATATAGTCTACTGCTGACCCTTCATATACTTTCGCTGCATCATGTCGGTGTTCTGAGTGAGCTGACTTTCAACTTAACAGCCATTTTGGGGAATTTTTAACCTCATGGCAAATTTTACACCCTCCCTTTCATTGGATGCACCCTTCAGCTGTAGGGCACCCTGACAAGAAGCTTAGGAAGGGAGAAGGGTCATCTCGCATAGGATCCAACCAGATTCATCTTCCTATGTTCCTTTGTAGAATGTAGTGTCACACTCCCCTCTCTGGGGATCCAGCGCCGGGTCTCCTCTCTGGCTTGTGACCACCATCACTTTCACCCAGAGAGCTGGCTGTGTGACCAATCAGGAGACAGCTCTCCCCATCGGTTCCACCTGGAATTGTAGGATGATGCTATGAAGACGCAAACCTACATGAAGGGCCTGGACTACTTTCCAGTCTATTATCCTTCATATCCTAATACTGGAAAGGAAAACCACACTGACAGATAAAAAACACTGGCGCCAAATGTGACCGTTTTTGAGGGAAGAGGAAGAACTCCAGAGGCACGGGGGCAGCTCCTCACAGTCCGGGAAACTGGATATCTACCAGAAGAGAAGCAAAAGGAGTGCCTCCATAGTGTAGTTGAGTGATGTGAAAAAGATGGAAGCCTACATGTAGAACCTGAACTTCTTTCCAGTCTATTATCCTTCATATCCTAATACTGGAAAAGAAAACCATCAAATGTGTTTTCATTAAACAAAACAAATGAAAAATAAAGCTTAAAGGAAAAGCTCTCCAACATCTGTAGCTATATGACCATATAAATAACCCCCTTTGTGTGGTAGACAGGTCCACTTTACCAAGCTGGTCTCTTTGATCAGGAGCGGGTCTGTTTATAAATGTGTGCACACAAGATTCACACAAATTTCATTCGGGATTCACAAATTTCCCAGTTTAATTCAGTCAGAAAAATGTGGGAAGGTTGTGTGAATCTCGTGTGAAAACATTTATAAAAAGACTCCTTTTTTTTGTTTGCAAAGTCAATAAAGGAACAAAACTCAGTTTTAGAAAATAGATCTTTTGGTTTATTGGTCTGTACAGAGGAGATCAATGTACACTATACATAT